CCCTCAGCCTTTCCTCATAAGACCTTCCCTCCATACCAGGCAACATCCTGGTAAATCTCCTCTGCACCCTTTCCAATGCTTCCACATCCTTCCTATAATGCGGTGACCAGAACTGTACGCAATACCCCAAGTGCGGCCGCACCAGAGTTTTGTACAGCTGCAACATGACCTCATGGCTCCGAAACTCAATCCCTCTACCAATAAAACCTAACATACTGTACGCCTTCTTAACAACGCTATCAACCTGGGTGGCAACTTTCAGTGATCTATGCACATGGACACAGAGATCTTTCTGCTCATCCACACTACCAAGAATCTTACCATTAGCCCAGTACTCTGTATTCCTGTTACTCCTTCCAAAGTGAATCACCTCACACTTTTCCGCATTAAACTCCATTTGCCACCTCTCTGCCCAGCTCTGCAGCTTATCTATGTCCCTCTGTAACCTGCAACATCCTTCCGCACTATCCACAACTCCACCGACTTTCGTGTCATCCGCAAATTTACTAACCCATCCTTCTACGTCCTCATCCAGGTCATTTATAAAAATGACAAACAGCAGTGGCCCCAAAACAGATCCTTGCGGTACACCACTAGTAACTGCACTCCAGGATGAACATTTCCCATCAACCACCACCCTCTGTCTTCTTACAGCTAGCCAATTTCTGATCCAAACCGCTAAATCACCCTCAATCCCATGCTTCAGTATTTTCTGCAATAGCCTACCGTGGGGAACCTTATCAAACACTTTACTGAAATCCATATACACCACATCAACCGCTTTACCCTCATCCACCTGTTTGGTCACCTTCTCAAAGAACTTAATAAGGTTTGTGAGGCATGACTTACCCTTCACAAAACCGTGTTGACTATCCCTAATCAAATTATTCCTTTCCAGAGGATTATAAATCCTATCTCTTATAATCCTTTCCAACACTTTACCCACAACCGAAGTAAGGCTCACTGGTCTATAATTACCAGGGTGGTCTCTACTCCCCTCCTTGAACAACGGGACAACATTTGCTATCCTCCAGTCTTCTGGCACTATTCCTGTAAACAATGACGACATAAAGGTCAAAGCCAAAGGCTCTGCAATCTCCTCCCTAGCTTCCACGAGAATCCGAGGATAAATCCCATCCGGCCCAGGGGACTTATCTATTTTCACACTTTCCAGAATTGCTAACACCTCCTCCTTCTGAACCTCAATCCCGTCTAGTCTAATAGCCTGTATCTCAGTATTCTCCTCGACAACATTGTCTTTTTCCTGTGTGAATACTGACAAAAGATATTCATTTAGCGCCTCTCCTATCTCTTCAGACTCCACGCACAACTTCCGACTACTGTCCTTGACTGGCCCTAATCTTACTCGAGTCATTCTTTTATTCCTGACGTACCTATAGAAAGCTTTAGGGTCTTCCTTGATCCTACCTGCTAAAGACTTCTCATGTCCGCTCCTGGCTCTTCTTAGCTCTCTCTTTAGGTCCTTCCTGGCTAACTTGTAACTCTCAAGCGCCCTCACTGAGCCTTCACGCCTCATCTCTACATAAGCCTCCTTCTTCCTCTTGACAAGAGATTCAACTTCTTTAGTAAACCATGGTTCCCTCGCTCAACCACTTCCTCCCTGCCTGACAGGTCCATACTTATCAAGGACATGCAGTAGCTGTTCCTTGAACAAGCTCCACATTTCAATTGTGCCCAGCCCCTGCAGTTTCCTTCTCCATCCTAAATCTTGCCTAATCGCCTCATAATTGCCTTTCCCCCAACTATAACTCTTGCCCTGCGGTATATACCTATCCCTTTCCATCGCTAAAGTAAACGTAACCGAATTGTGGTCACTATCACCAAAGTGCTCACCTACCTCCAGATCTAACACCTGGCCTGGTTCATTACCTAGTACCAAATCCAATGTGGCCTCGCCTCTTGTTGCCCTATCTACATACTGTGTCAGGAAACCCTCCTGCACACATTGGACAAAAACTGACCCATCTGAAGTACTCGAACTATAGCGTTTCCAGTCAATTTTTGGAAAGTTAAAGTCCCCCATAACAACTACCCTGTTACTTTCGCTCCTATCCAGAATCATCTTTACAATCTTTTCCTCTACATCTCTGGAACTTTTCGGAGTCCTATAGAAAACTCCCAACAGGGTGACCTCTCCTTTCCTGTTTCTAACCTCAGCCCATACTACCTCAGTAGACGAGTCCTCATCAAACGTCCTTTCTGCCACCGTAATACTGTCCTTGACTAACAATGCCACACCTCCCCCTCTTTTACCACCTTCCCTGATCTTACTGAAACATCTAAACCCCGGAACCTGCAACAACCATTCCTGTCCCTGCTTTATCCATGTCTCCGAAATGGCCACAACATTGAAGTCCCAGGTACCAACCCATGCTGCAAGTTCACCCACCTTATTCCGGATGCTCCTGGCGTTGAAGTAGACACACTTCAAACCACCTTCCTGCCTGCCGGTACGCTCCTGCGGCCTTGAAACCTTATTCATGACCTCACTACTCTCAACCTCCTGTACACTGGAGCTACAATTCAGGTTCCCATCCCCCTGCTGAATTAGTTTAAACCCTCCCGAAGAGCATTAGCAAATCTCCCCCCCAGGATATTGGTACCCCTCTGGTTCAGGTGTAGACCATCCCATTTGTAGAGGTCCCACCTACCCCAGAATGAGCCCCAATTATCCAGGTATTTGAATCCCTCCCTCCTGCACCATCCCTGTAGCCAAATGTTCAACTGCTCTCTCTCCCTATTCCTCGCCTCGCTAGCATGTGGCTCAGGTAACAAACCAGAGATAACAACTCTGTTTGTTCTAGCTCTAAGCTTCCACCCTAGCTCCTTGAATTTCTGCCTCACTTCCCTATCCCTTTTCCTACCTATGTCGTTGGTGCCTATGTGGACCACGACTTGGGGCTGCTCCCCCTCCCCCTTAAGGATCCCGAAAACACGATCCGAGACATCACGGACCCTGGCACCTGGGAGGTAACACACCAACCGCGAGTCTCTCTCGTTCCCACAGATCTCCTATCTGTCCCCCTAACTATGGAGTCCCCAATGACTGATGCTCTCCTCCTCTCCCCACTTCCCTTCTGAGCAACAGGGACAGACTCTGTGCCAGAGACCTGTACCCCATGGCTTACCCCTGGTAAGTTGTCCCCCCGGTAAGTAGTCCTACCCAACAGTTTCCAAAACAGTATACTTGTTACTGAGGGGAACGGCCACAGGGGATCCTTGCACTGTCTGCCTGTTCCCTTTCCGTCCCCTGACTTTAACCCATCTACCTTTTTCCTGTACCTGAGGTGTGACTACCTCCCTGTAATCCCTCTCAATTACCCCCTCAGCCTCCTGAATGATCCGAAGTTCATCCAGCTCCAGCTCCAGCTCCCTAACGCAGTTTCCGAGGAGCTGGAGTTGGGTGCACTTCCTGCAGATGAAGTCAGTGGGGAGACTAGTGGTGACCTTTACCTCCCACATTCTACAGGAGGAGCATGCAACTGCCCTAACATCCATTCCCACTGTTCTGAATGCTGAAAAAAAAACTAGTAACCTTGCCAAAATCGGCGCTCAGAACCTTTTTTTTGGTTAGAGGAGAATGGGTGGGAGACACTACCTAAGTAGTGTTTCGGGTAAAGCAAATTAGGTAAATCTTCAAAATCTTTGATTACAGCAGAAACATTGTGGGCAATAAGGGTTAAATTTGCAACTTCCTAGTGGTAAACAGTTTTGAAGGGATGAGTTTTTTTTTAAATTAAAAAGATGGTTTTCAAATTAGCTGGTGCCTCAGAAGGTCTGGGGTGGAGGGAAAACAGTAGGATGGGTCTTTGCTTAATCCCATGAAGTGTGCCTTCATTGAAAAAAAAAGGGTCTGGATCGCTTGATAATTTCAAATGGAATAATTTTGGCTACTAGTTTCAAAGGCCATTCATAGAACTTATCTTGGTCACTTGTTAAGAAACTTACCATTAGGGGGTTTTGACATTTTGGATCAAAAAATTGGTTCTACTTCCTGTTGAATAACTTAGTTCCCACTTCGTGCAATCACGGAAATCACGTCTTATCACAACAGGGTGTGTAAATATCATAATCTCTCTCATTCTTAACATACTGACAGTTTTGCATTAATTGATTACTTGCAGCATTATAAAAGGTTCTTAAATACTTTTCAAAGCATGCATTCGCACAATCTTAAGTTGCTCCTTCAGTGTAAATTATTGGTGTGGAGACTCTATGAGCTATTAAATTGCTCACTGAATTTGCAATGCTTAAAGGATAATAGTAACGTATTGAAAGTTAAAACTGATTAAACATAGAACGGATTGAATTTTATAGTTAATTTAGCAAGCTGGAATAATATGGTTACAGAAACTCTCATTTTGGGTATTTGTAATGAGTAGCTTTCTCAAGGGGCATATGAAAATGGCTTCCCTTTCTATTGAGGAGAAAGATTTCATTCAAAGTATTTTTCCACTGTATACGCTTGATTAAATTTTTGACAATGCAAATTTCTCAGACTCCAGACTGGTGTTTAAAAGTTGCCACAACACAGGTTACCTCAAGTTGTTCCTTCTGCGTAAATCCTTTTGTGTTCTTTCCTGAAGAGTGCCCAACAAATGTCATGACTCGCACCAGAGGGTCATGTCTGCTGAGCATCTCAGCAATCTCTTGAACACTATCCCGAAATGAGGAGAAGATCATAACACGAGTATTTACACCACTATTCTTTCCTTCAGATATTTTTGGACCTGAAAAGCAACCAAGTGTAGATAATTAGTTTAAACAGCCAACAAAGCAGAAGAAATCAGATTTATTGCACTGGAGGCAGTCCAGCGAAGGTTCACTAGGTTGATGCCAGGAGGGGGTGAATTATGAGAGGTTGAGAACATTGTCCCTCTACTCATTGGAATATGGAAGAATGAAAGGTGATCTTATTGAAGCATGCAATATTCTTAAGGTAGACTTGGCGACATCTACGTTCGGCTTGCAAAAAAGATCCTGAACTACCTGTTGCCTGCCACTTCAATGCACCAGCCTGCTCCCTGGCCAACATCTGTGTCTCTGGCTTGCTGCAGTGTTCCAGTGAAGCCCAACGCAAGCTGGAGGAACAACACCTCATTTTCAACTTGGGGACCCTACAGCCCTCCAGACTCAATATGGAGTTCAATAATTTTAGGGCCTAAACTCTCCCATGTCCCAGCCCCCTTCCCCACACACCAGGCCTTGCTACCACATAGCCTGCCATTACACACCCACTGTTGTTAGTCACTAACAGTCCCCATTAACAACTATTCACCCTCCCAGCCTGATCGTTAGCAACTCCTTTGTCTGTCCAACTGTCTTTCTGTCTCTTTGGGCTCTATCCTATCGTTTACGCCCTACTCCAGCCCCTCCCTATTTTCTGCATATAAACTGACGTTTTCCCAGCCACCATCAGTTCTGAGGAAGGGTCACCGGACCCGAAACGTTAACTCTGTTTTCTCCTTCACAAATGCTGCCAGACCTGCTGAGCTTCTCCAGCAATTTTGTTTTTGTTCCAATATTCTTAAGGGATTTGACAGGGTAGATGTGGAAAAGTTGTTTCCCTTCGAAGGAGTCTAGAACAAGAGGACATAATCTCAGAATAAGGGGCTGTATATTTAAGACAGAGATAGAGGAATTCCTTCTCTCAAAGGGAACTGAATACAGGTAGTTCTGCAATAACGAGTGTTTCGTTAACATGAATTGGCTGTAACACAATTGATGAACAGTGGACGCTGTTTGGATAACACGAACTTTCTGCTGTACAGGTATAGCAATTTCCCAATAGTGCGATTTTCTATAGCACGAGTTCACACAAGAACGCAACTATCACGTTATAGGAGAACTACCTGTATGTAAAATTCTTTACTTCAGAGGACTGTTGAAGCTAGGTCATTAAGGATATTAAGAAAATTCAAAGTACAATTTAATATGTATTTAAGTACGTATAATTACACAGACAGATTTTTAATCAATAAGGAAATCAAGAGTTATGGGGAAAAGGCAGGAAAATGGAGTTGAGCATTATGAGATCAGCCACAATCTCTGAATGGCAGAGCTGACTGGGTGAACTAAGTAGCTTACATCTGCTCCTACATCTTACAGTCTTATTGTCTTATAGTATTGATTCAAATTGGCTACTCCTAGCACACAGAGGGAATGCTGTTTGGAAAATTGAAGGGCCAAGATCAGTTTACTTGTTCATTTAAATTAAATCAAAATTGAGGACTGCAAGCAACAGTTTCCTCACCAGTGCTGAGTGTGCGCTCCACTTCCATAGTCTCCAATTGGAGGAATCATCCTCCACATAATATTTTTTGCCAATTAATTCCTTTTGAGCCTTGAACATAAAAGTTCATTAGAATATATTTTTTCAACAAAAAAAAATGGATGTTAACTGCAAAACTATTGCCCAGTGAAAGCATGTGCAACATTTCTACAACGCTATAAAACATGTTATAACTGAATTTAATTTCTGTAATTGTGCTACCACATTATTCAAACCTTCAGCATCTTTCCACCATTAAAACTCAGATGAAGAGTCTAAAGGTAACACCCAAACAGCTGGACAGGTGCAGCCACTACTTCTCATTGAAAACTCATCAACATTTGGATTTAAGATCTCTGATCATTATTGCCCATACATTCCAACACTGCAACACACACCATCCTCCACTCCCTCCGCTAATCAAATCACAAACCAAATCAAAGCCACGCTCCACCATTGTTTAATACACAGTGAAAATTCCTGGAATTCCCAGCCTAATACCATAATTGCAGCAACATCAAAATGACAACAGTATGTCAAGGAACAGGTTGGTTTCCAACTGCATCAGTGATAAATACACAAATGCCAGAAGCACCCAAACGCTGATCCTGAATAACACTACTGCGCTCAATGTCCACCATTGTTTAGATATAGAATTTGAAAGTAACAAAGTAGAGTAGACCTTTATACAATTTAACTACTTTGCAATTACAGACAATGATTAAAATTAAGACAGTCCTAAAAAAGATAATTTCAGTAAGTGATTTAGAAGAGATTTAAAATTAAAATATTATCTTAGCAAAACTTCATTGGTAAAAATTGGATAAAAAAAGAAACAAATAAATTCTTAACTTTATTTGACAAATCAATACAACAGTCTAGATACACCTTACCTCCAGATTCGGCCCAAGTCTTGAAGTGTGCCACGACAACCTCTTCAAGCTTTTGTAGTTTGGGGTGACTGTAGATGAATTGTTTTCTGTTTTCAGACCCTGAATAAAGCATTTTATGAAAGCATTTTGCTAGTGAAATAAATGTTGATAAGACACATGTGCAGAGAGTCATAATTCGAAAAGACACAAACATTTCACAATAAAGAATGATGAAATACCAAAATTACATCACAAATGAAGAAAATCTCCAGAGTCTCTCAGAGTATTAACAAATGATGGTATTTCTATGGAAAGGAAATGCTGACACTTTACTGTTCTTCGTTAGATATTCTGAACGCACACAATAGGGGAAGAGATATATAAAATAGGATTATTTAGATATAGATATATAATATATAAACTTTTGCACATACTTTTATGTAATGGAACATACAGTCCATTAGGACCAGACTAAATCTACTTATACAATGTGTAATGTTGAAAGTCAACTTTGATGTTCCATCTGGGACTTGCAACAAACATGAAAACATATTTTTGTGAGAATTAAATGTTGACTTGTATTTCATTTTCAGCACCACATTGTTCCAGAAGTGATTCAGAGAGTTAATAAATGTACAGGTCCACTCGTCTTTGAAACAAATTTATGCAAGTAGGCCATCTCACTGAGTATACCACTTAAAATTTATGGCAAAACATGGCAATAAAACTTCACGGTAGCTATCATTATAGAGCAGCACATGGCTCTAGGCACCCTGCCAATTCTCTAACAGGTCTGTACGGTCAGTTTATATCACTTTGGTTTTGTTCTATCTGCATAGAAGTTCCTCGTCTTCCAGCAGTCAGAGCACGGTGAACATAGGTATCAAAGGATGTCTTAAGTTCATTTCATAATCAGATTTTATAAGTTGAATATTTACAATTGTGTGAAAGTTCTGTGAACTGCCAGGGAAGTTTAAACCTCTGACGGGAAACTCTCCAGCATCCTGGGACCCTCACACTCACTCACGAACATGTTAAAAAAAGTTATTTAAATGCCACAAACCGTTAGCAAAGAAAGTGGCAGCTAATGTTGTGTAAAAGGAGCAAAAGGTAGAGCAAAGTGAACAAACTATTCAAATGAAAATACAAAGCATTACAGTACCAATTTGTGAATGAAAAAGGCTGCTTCCATTTGAAAACATAGCTTTCAGCTGCTCATACAACTCCCTGAAGTCAGTATTTTTGCACAGCTCACTCCGCACTCGTGTCATTCCTGTAAGAAAGTATCAGTTTCTTTTTCTCAATTTCATCATTTCAGATGTGTGAAGTGTGTAAAACACACAACTCTTACAAAAAATGAAGCACCTCTATTTATAAAATCTGCTAAATCTTTATTCAAGAGGGCTAATGTAAAAGCACAATACCAGAGAAAAAAAAATTTAACATTTGAAAATGCTCCAACGTAAAGTCCTGTTTGTTTCAGGAAACGAGAGTTTGCAACTAAACTTTAGGAACAGAACAGAGAATCAGATCGGTTCATCAAACAGACTACTTTCTCAGAATCATGCGTATTTTGCCTCATAAATCCCATCAAATATACGCAATGTACCATATGAGAGTTCACAGTAATTGTGCCTTCCTCTCTTTTCTACATTCCTTCAAAGGATAACCTTTTTATTTAGTTTATTCAGGTGTGGACATTGACAGCTAGGGCAACATTTCTTGCACATCCCATTTGCCCCTCGAGGTACTGGTGAGCGGTCTTCTTGATCCACTGTAGTCTTTGCTATAACTACACCCATAGTAATGTTTAGAAGGGTTTTCCAGGATTTTGACTTATCAACAGTGAAAGAATGGCGATATTGTGTGCCAAGTCAGGATGATGTATGACTTGAAGGGGAAACTGCAGGTTGTGCTGTTGCCATATGTCTGCTGCACTTGTCCTTCTAGTAGGTAGTGATCTGACGTTTGGAAAGTGCTGTTGAAGAGGTCTTGGTGACATTACTGCAGTGCAACTTGCAGTTGGTAGACATTGCTACCACTGCACATTTAAGGTGAAACGAATGCATGTTCCTGGCTAAGATCAAACTTCTTGAATGCTGTTAAAGCCATATTCACCCAAGCCACTGACACTTTTGACTTGTATCCTGTAGATGGTGGACAGACATTGGGAAAACAGAAATTGAGCTACTCGCCACAGAATTCCTAATCTTTGACCTGCTTTTGTAGCTACAGTATTCGTAGGACTGGCCCAGTTCAGTTTCTGGTCAATGGTAACCCACCCAGCAGTAACGATGCCACTGAATATCAAGGAGCAATGGTTAGATTCTCTCCTTTCAAAAAAAAACGAATTCATGCTGGAAATCAGAAACAGACAGAAACTTCTGCGAAACGCAACAGGTCGGCAGCACCTGTGGACAGAAAGCAAAACTAAAATTTCCGGTCCAGTGACCCTTCTTCAAAAACGCCTTGGTGTCAAGGTCAGTCACTCTCAACTGTCCTCTGGAGTTCAGGACATATGTCCATGTTTGGACCAAAGCTATATTGAGGTCAAGAATGGTCACTCCTGTTAATACTGTCAAAGGACTCATCATTGACAGTTGGTGAGGTCAAAGTCAAGCAGATTCTGCCCTGCTCTTAGTCCCCTCACCACCTATCACACTCAGTCTTGCAGCTGTATCCTTTAGAGGTCTACCACCCAGAGTGTATTGTGTCCTTGACACCATCTGTGCTTCCTCCAAATGGTATTCAACACAAGCATGTGCTGATTCATTAATACAAGTCGGGGGATAGGGGCACAAGAGACAGAAAAAGATTGCAAGAGCAATGAGAGCTCATGAGACCAACTGAAGAACATGAGAAAGTGCGAGAGAGCATGACAACATGACAACGAATGAGCAAGAAGACATGATGGTGATGTCTGGCTCAGTCATATGTAAGGACTCATACTTTCGGATGTTGCGGACAAGTTTGTGGAACACTTCTCCCAACATTAGCACAAGCCCATACACAATACTAAGGAGGATGATTCAATGTTGACAGGAGTTTGCTATTTTCGTTTCTAGCAGTTATCCCCTTCCTAGGTAGGCCATCCACTTGTGTTCCATTGGTTAGATTTTGTAGTGGTTTGATATAAAAAGTGGCTTGCTAGGTCATTTCAGAGAAAGTGAAATGACATCAACAAAACTGCACATCTGTGGAGTCACGTGCAGGCCAGATGAGGGAAGGGGCAGATTTCTTTCCCTGTTATTAGTGAACCAGATGGATTTTTACAACAATTGACAATGGTTACATAATTATCATTAAAGCTAGCTTTTAAAGCCAGATTTTATTGAAATAAAAGCTCACCACCTGCCGTGTTGGGATTTAAACCAAAATCCCCATTTGGCTGGGGATCCGAATTACTAGTCCATTAGACAGTACATTATGCCATCTCTTCATCCTGTAGCTCTTAAACAATTTCTCAAGAATATTTAATTATTTCTGTATGTTTTTGCACTATTGTCTTAAATCAGCTGTACACATTTTGAAAACATATTTTGCTCTAAGTCTACTTAAGAGTTTTAATCAGTTTTACTGGATTCATATAACAGAAGAAGACCATGTGAATGAAATAATTAAGAGTGCAGTCAGCACCAAAGCAAGGGCACTCGCCACTAATTTTTAAGTAAGTCTCGTTGACCGTGCTGTCAACTCTAGCAAGAACTTTGCCTCTGTCACTGAGAGTAATATGGCAATTGTTTGCAGCATCCTGTACTGAAGCTGGAGCAATGACATCAGACTGCTTGGGCAGTTTGATGACAATAACATTGAAAGATTTCACACATACATACAACAAAAAAAATTGGCATATAAAATGGGAAGGTAGAAACTAAAATACTCAAATTTCAAAATAATTTTTAAAGTTTTGCTAAAAGAATCTGAATTATTAGGATTCTATAGCAAAGGTACTTTCTAAAACCAGGACTGTCATTCATCAGATTTTATTAATTCCAACTGTTTGAAAATCAATTACAACTGGTTGTATGAAATGCAAAGTTTTAATGGCATTTCTAACAGTGATGTAGAAATGGGAATGAAGTTCTTCCTGATTTCAATGGCTTGGACAGAAAAACAGCACAACCAGCAGAGTGTTAAACTGAAATTTCAAGATTTCCACATTAAATCAGTACATGCCAACATCCTAAAACAAAAACAGAAATTGCTGAAAAAACTTAGCAGGTCTGGCAGCATCTGTGGTAAGAAAACAATTTATGTTTCGAATCCATTGACCCTTCTAAGGAAGTTAGGCAGACAAAAGGTATGGTTGATAGTAAATCAGGGAAGGAGAAAAACTAATAGGGACAATGTGTGGGTGAAAATGGATTGGCTCTGCTGAAAGCAGACCGTATCATGACAGGACCTGGGATGTGTGTGAGGGTAAAGGACATGGAGGGTGATGTTCAGGCTCTAAAATTGAGTTTGAATTCTGATGGCTACACGCTCCTTAAGTGGAAAACAAGACGCTGTTGTTCCAGCTTGCACTGAGCCACAGTGGTGTACTGCAACGGGACCTAGACAGAAATGGTGGCAGGGAACACAGTGGTGTGTTGAAGTGGCAGGCAACTGTAAGTAAAGGAGTCAGCCAGTCTACGTTTCATCTCCCCAAATACACACTAGATGAAGCGAAGCGCGGTAAATCACCACTGTCATCAGTGAGGTGCACAGACTCTTGTATATTAAGGAGGGGGGAAGTAAATGGGCATGTGTTACCATTTCCGCAATTAGAATGAGAGAGATATACAGCACAGAAACAGACCCTTCAGTCCAACTCGTCCATGCCAACCAGATATCCGCTATAAATCTAGTCCCATTTGCCAGCATTTGGCCCATATCCCTCTAAACCCTTCCTATTCATCTACCCATCCAGATGCCTTTTAAATGATGTAATTGTACCAACCTCCACCACTTCATCTGGAAACTCATTCCACATACGCAACACCCTCTGCGTGAAAAAGTTGCCCCATAGGTCCCTTTTATATCTTTCCCCCTCACCTTAAACCGATGCCCTCTAGTTTTGGACTCCCACACGCCAGGGAAAAGACCTTGGCTATTCACCCCATCCATGCCCCTCATGAATTTATAAACCTCGATAAGGTCACCTCTCAACCTCCGACACTCCAGGGAAAATAGCCCCAGCCCATTCTGACTCTCCCAAAAGCTCAAACCCTCCATCCCTGGCAACATCCTCGTAAATCTTTTCTGAACCTTTTCAAGTTTTACAACATCCCTCCTGTAGCAGGGAGACCAGAATTGAATGTACTACTTCAAAAGTGGCTGAACCAATGTCATATACAGCCACAACATGACCTCCCAACACGTATACTCAATGCACTGACCAATAAAGCCAAATGCCTTCTTCACTATCCTATCTACCTGCGACTCCACTTTCAAGGATCTATGAACCTACACTCCAAGGTCTCTTTGTTTAGCAACACTCCCCAGGGCCTTACCATTAAGTGAATAAGTCCTGCCCTGGTTTGCCTTTCCAAAATGCAGCACCTCACATTTGTCTAAATTAAAATCCATCTGCCACTCCCTGGCCCACTGACCTATCTGATCAAGGTGCCATTGTATTCTGAGGTAACCTTCTTCACTGTCCACTATACCTCCAATTTTAGTATCATCTGCCAACTTACTAACCATACTTCTTATGTTCAAATCCAAATCATTTATATAAAAATGACAAAAAAGTAATGGGCCCAGCACCAATCCTTGTGGCACACCACTGGTCACAGCCCTCCAGTCTGAAAAACAACCCTCCACCACCACCTTCCGTCTTCTACCTTTCAGCCAGTTCTCCCTATAAGGAGCGATGATGTGGGGAGATGTTAGGATGGAGGAATGGATCACAGGGTTGCAGAGGAAACAACCCCTGTGGAATGCTGACAAGGGAGGGGAGGGGAATGCTTCTGGCGGTGGCATCCCACTGGAGGTCACCAGAATACCGGCCTATGATCCTTTAGATGCGGATGCTAGTAGAGAGAGAAGTCAGGACCAGGGATACCCCTATAGGTATGGTGGGAGGGAAGAGAAGGGTGAGCGTAGAAGTGTGGGAAATGGGTTGGACACAGCTAAGGGTCCTGTCAACCACAGTGGCAGGGAATCTTTGGTTAAGGAAGAAGGTGGTCATTTCTGAGACTCCCCTGCAGAAGGTAGCATCAAACAGATGCAATAGACAGAGAAACTTCCCTCAACAAGTCTATACTGACTGTTTATTGCATATTAAATGCCATGAGCATCAATTAAGTAAACTATTGTAAATTACTCTGCTCCTTTGGGTCATTACCTTTGGATCCATCCATAATGCCTTCCAAATAGCTGTATAATGATCGCATTCCCATTTGTAACAGAAGTTCATATCCGTGATAAAGACTAATGCAAACAGCATAATCTCCTTCCACCATACCTCGTTGAGCTCCCTGAAACATTCATGAAAATTAGGTCAGTGGAATGACAAGCACTTGATAGCACTTATTACTAACACATGCCTATCACTGTGGAAATAGGCAATAGGCTTAGACAGTGTATGTGATTTCAACTCGTGGGCTGAATTTTGTAGAGCCTGCTGGGATGACCAAGAATGAAGGCACAAGAGGAGTTTCTCAGTGGGCTGTGTATTAGATTCCTGACATCTAAGCAATTAAATCAGCAGCAGATATGTAACAAAACTTACACATTAGCAGCAGGAGACTTGCTCCTTTGCTTAATTGCCCACTTGTATATTATATAAATGCAATTTGATTTGCCACCTCAATTTATTGAAACTCATGCACCTATTGTTTATTGCATATTAAATGCCATGAGCATTAACTTGTGTAATCCACCCAATGAAAGCTGATATAAAAACAAAGTGCCGGAGAAACTCTGCATATCTAGCAGCATCTATGAAAAGTTAACACTTCAAGTCCAATATGATTCATCTTTAGAATGGAAGCAGGCTTAAAAAGATGTTTTTTATGCTGTGGAAAATGGGGGCAAATGCAGATGTTAAAAGTGCCTCATTGCTGAAGGCAAAGAGAGGGCTAATGATAATAGAGAAGGAAAGGATACAGATGTTAATAGGAGGTGTTCTGAGTAGAAAACAGGTTAGCTCTGCCAGAAGTAAGCCTATGCATAAAATACAGCTTGGGGGTGTCAGACAATCAAAACTGAGGTCAACGTTCATGGTCTGAAGATGTGGATCTCAATATCCAGAACGGAAGGCTGTAAAGTGCCGAAGCAGAAAACACAGATTGCTTTGGGCTTTCCTGAAACACTACAGCAGGTCTAGGACAGAAGAAAAGTTAGCTTGACAGTACAATGGTGTTTGAAATGACAAACAGCTGGAAGGTCGGGGTTATTTTTGCTGACAGAGGTGTTCTGCAAAGCGCTCACCTCAGCTCTATTTGATTTCACCAATGTCAAAGAAATCCTATTTTGGCAGCAAATACAGTTTACCAGATGGAAAGTAGGCCAATCAAATCCATGCTTTACCTGGCAAGTACATTTGAGACCTCGGACAATGAGGAAGGAGATAGCAAAGGGCAAATGTAACATGTTTTGTGATTACGTGCAAAGATTTATGTGGGGGTCCACAGAACAGTGGCGTAAGGAGTGAAGGAAGGAACCTGGGTATAGTATAGTTTATGGTAACTGCAGAATGCTGCCAGAGGAGGGAATGGAAGTGTGTGTTTGGTGGTGATCCTGCTGGCATTGGCAGAGGATGATCCTTTGAATGCAGAAGTTGCTGGAGTAGAAAGTGAGTGGGGGAATATTATCATTGTTCTGGAAGGGAGGAGTGCAGAAGTGCAAGAAATGTGTCAAACAGTTGACATCTCTATTAACAAAACAAATACTGGTGGTGGGGTGGGGTGGGGTTTCCTCAGTTAAGGGAAAGGAAGACAGAAGCGGACGACTGTCTGTGTGAAGTTTGCACATTCTCCCCGTGTCGGCATGGGTTTCCTCCCACAATCCAAAAGATGTGCAGGCTAGGTGGATTGGCCATGCTACATTGCCTAGTGTCCAGGGATGTGTAGATCGGGGGGATGGGTCTGGGTCTGGGTGGACTTGTTGGGCCGAAGGGCCTGTTTCCACACTATAGGGATTCTGTGATTAAGAAGCACTCCTGTGGAAGGGAGCATTATTATAACAGATGTGATAGAGATGGAAAACCAGAAGAACGGGATAGAATTTTAAAGGAAGCAGGGTGTGAGGAATTGCAGTCAATGCAACTGTGGCAGTGGGTCTGTAAACGGATATTAATGGATAGCCAATAGAATCAAAAGTCAAAGCAGTGTCAGAGATGGATCGGGTGAAGGAGGAGAATTCAGAAAGTACCACTGATGCTGTTATTGATGTACCACAGAAAGAGTTTTGGGAGAAGAGCCAAGTGTAGATTGCTCCACATACCCCACAAAGAGACAAGTATAACTGGGTCCCATGCAGGTAGCCATAGTCAAACCTTTCCCTTGGAGAAAGTGAGACATATTAAAGAAGAAATTGTTCAAAGTAACCAGGCTGAAGGAGGGGAGTGGCAGATGGAGACTCCCATCAGGCCTCCTTTCAAAGGCAAAGCAGAGAGCACTCGGACCCTTCAGATGGGAATAGCAGTGCAGATAGACTGTGCAACTGGGGCCAGAAATCTAGAAACTGTGAAAGTGATGCAAAACATTAGAAAAAATGACAAATGCAATGGGAAGAGACTAGATATGGAGAGATAAAAATAAAAGTCAAGATAAGAAAAAGCAATTTCAGTGGGACTGGCCAGGTGTAAACAATGCATCTGCCAGTGCAGTGTTGTTTGCAGGCTTTGGGAAGAATGTAGAAGAGGGATATGTGGGGCTGGAGAAAATGAAGCAAAAAGTTGTGGGAGGAAGATCTCTAGAAGATGAAGCACTGGGCCCAAAATTTAAAGGGATTACATAAACTAAAATGCAGATAGGCTGTCCAACAAAAAGCAATATCACAGATCAGTCCCTAAGGAGCGCACACTTAGCAGGATGCCCTTCTTCATCCTTAAGCTGTGTAGGAGATGTGCCAGTTAAACCTGCTGAAGCCACCAACTGATCAGAGTGACAGGAGAAGAATCTGCTCCTTAGGGTTCAGAAAAATGATATATTATTTTTGACCCGGAGATTCAAATTGCAGAGCTTCCTTAAAAATCCTGCAAGACAATTTCCAAATGCAACACGGAACTGGTTGCCCTTAAATATGGAGCATCTCCAGCACAGCTCCTTCGCAATACAGGTTTCTTGATATCAGAGTTGCCATTACAACATGATCTGACGGTGAGTCCATGTAACCCAAATTTATGCGTTTGCCACTTTGTCCACATTCAACTGACTGTCATGGACCTAAGCCAGAGCCCCAATGACTTGTATGCATGCCTGCCAGCAAGTGCCACAATAGTCAACTAAACCCCGTTCTTTCCATGTACACTTAAGAATGGAAAAAAAAATTCTCCATCTTAACCACTTTTACAAATTGTCAGAAAATAATAAAGCCCAGAACTAAACATAACTACTTTTAAAATACTACCAGTCACTAACTGACTTTTCACTCAAATGATGCTAGTAACACTGGAGAAGGATGAATTTCATGCTCAAGAACATCTCATTGTAAAGAAGGGTACTTAACAGATTAATAAATAAGAAACACAGAAATTGCTTGAAAAGTTATCAGGTCTGGTGGCATCTGTGGAGAGAAAGCAGGGTTAATGTTTTCTTCCTCAGAACTCATTTTTAGAATTGATAAAACAACATTTTCTGAAGAAGGGTCATTGGACCTGATACATTAACTCTGCTTTCTCTCCACAAAATGCTGCTAGACCTGAACAAAGATTTTCCAGCAATTTCTGTTTTTGTACCAGAAAATTTAGGCCTTGCTCATGCAAGAGTAAATGACATTTCTTTTTAAATACAGCATGATAATTCTTACTATCAAGCAAACTCACTGGCATTGAAAGTTAACTTCTTTTTAAACTTATGCTTGGGATGTTGCTACTAGTATCGTTGATTGTTAATTGCCCTCGAGAAGGTGATCATGAGCCAACTCTTTGAAATACTGCAGTCCAAGCAGTGTAGGTAAACCTAGTGTTGTATCATTATAAAATGGCGACGAAAGGATTAGTTATACCTGCTACATAATCTATTAAACATGTTATGACGATAAAAAGAGGCTATTTACCATAATGTTTGTTGGAGGATTTTTTCTAAACTGTTCCCGTGACAGAACAATTTGGTATTTGGTTAAAGTTGCTATATCTTTATGAATTAGGGCTCCAGCCTTAAGTAGGCGTTGTGTAAATGATTCCAAGACCTATAATTAAAGCACAGAACATTGTCATTTTAATTAAAAAGTATTTTAAAATTTGCAGGTTTAACATTGAACAAAGTATTATCCATTGCCAGCAGATAATATTAATAGCTCAAAACCACTTGGTTCTCATTCCAATCAAATAGCAACATCCATTCCGCCACCATCAACATACTGCAGAAAACATAATGCTGAGTTGTTTCTTGAAGTGCAACAACCATTGGAAAAATTGAAACCTACCTTCTCAATTGACTCAGCAACAAACTTGACCTTATCCTACAATATATAAAATTACCAACTTCCATACTCTTCACTGGGGCCTGTTAAAACAGCTGCTATTAAACATCTCAATGAAAGTTAGCTACAGGCAAATACATGTGAAACTGTGTCCACTTTTTCATTTGCTGTTACATTCACAGCTTTTGTATTTTGATGCAGTTCAAGTGGTTGATTTAGCAAATTTGAATCCGCCTTCTTCTAGCACTGCTGTACTACTTTCAATTTATCCAGGAAACTCAGTTCATAGCCACCTGGTCTTTGTTATTGTTCAAATTGGAATTAATTAATTATCTCAAGTCACTTAAAATAGAGAGTTGTAGAATCAAACAGCATGGAAACAAGTCCTTCAGCCAAACTCATCCATGCCGAACAGGTTTTTTAAACTACTTAGTTCCAGTTGCCCGTGTTTGGCCCAAATCCCTCTAAATCTTTCCTATCCGTGAACCTGGCAAAGTGTCTTTTAAAATGCTGTAAATTGTACCCACCTCTATCACTTCTTCTGGCAGCTCATTCCATATACACACCACCCTCTGTGTGAAAAAGTTGACCCTTAAGTCCCTTTTAAATCTTTCCCCTCTCACCTTAAACCTAGGCTGTCTAGTTGTGGATTTCTTTACCTTGGCTATTCCCCTTATCTATGTCCCTCATGACTTTATAAACCTCTGTACGATCATCCCTCAGCCTCTTACGTTCCTCCTCTGAAGCTCCTTTGAGAAAAGTCGCTGCTTATCCAGCCTCTCCTTATAACTCAAACCTTCCAGTCTTGGTAACATCCTTGTACATCTTTTTTACACCCTCTTAATAACATCCTTCCTATAACAGGGCAACCAGAAGTGTACGCAGTACTCCAAATGTGGCCTTAGCAATATCTTGTACAGTGTAAATTGTAACCCCAACCAGAAAATCAGCTCTCACTGTTTAAAGAACGTTTGAGGCAATACATTTATCAAAAGGAGTTTGGGGAACAAAGTTAGAACAGTAATAACATAAGGCACTTAAAAATTATAACTAGAAGGCTCACATCATCTCAAAATATACTGAATAAAAAGTATTGTTACCCAGGCTTCTGTTTTTTTTTCCTGTATGGAGCATACACCAGAAAAATTGCCATTCATTTATAGCTTCAATCTGGTATAAAAACAACATTGCTACCTTCATAAATTGTTGGGAAAACTTCAAAACGAAAAGGTCTGGTTGAAAGAATTAGGCTGTGCTAAATTAAGTAACAATAAACATTTGCGAGGACCACAAAATATAACTGAAAACTATTTAAAATTACACGGCTAGAGAAAGAGGGCAGAGAGAGAGGCATCTCTCAAATGATACTAATCATACAGATAGACAAGAGTTCTCAAATGGGTGTGGACACAAATTCGAAAGAAGCAGAC